ACTTTAAACACCGACTAACGTCTGACAAATGGTCCGAGTTTTCGATCGTATACGGCTTTGACGCCTTTTTAATAGAATTTACGCTACGAGTCTTTTTTCAAAAATCTAGCAAAATCCTGCGAATTTGAAATTAGTGAGTCGTCAAACTTCAAAGAAAATTGAAATGTAAGCTTATAGCGCGATGGGACAATGCTTCCTGAATCCACGGCGTAAAATCATGCAATGAGACGAATAGGAGAGTCGCAAAGATGCGATTTACGAAACACCATCGCCCCTTACCCTTCTTCGCTTTCGTCACTACCCCGATTGGTTGTGGGCCTTGTCGCGCGGGGGCACGACCAGGCAGGCGAGGTGCGCAGCCCGCGGTAGCAAGGCGGGACATGCGGGATTCGCAAGCAGAACGTCGTTTCGGCCTTCGTCTCTTGCATCTGTCTATTTTTTCACAGGATACAAATTTAGAGATGCTATACTACTATTTACTGGGGCTGAGGTAAACGGTAACTTTTTACATATTTCGGTCTTCCTTCGTTACGTCTTAAATTGTTATTGAGGCAATACTCAAATTCCAAGTTGGTTTGATCAGAATCGCTTACAACACCTCCAACAAAAAATAGGTTGCTGTCATTCGAAAGTAGAAAGGGATTGTTGCCTTTCTAATTCATGAACATGATTGGAAATGGAAAACAAGAAGGACGTGAGATGAACATGCAAAAACATAATTCGAGAAACTGAGAACTCGTCAGTGGAGAGTCCAACTCACTCAAATTTTTCATATTTACTTTTTTCATTTAACGAACATAAGATGTAAACTTTTAGAATTATCGTTGGTGCGAGTCATAAAAGCTTTGTGTCTCTCTCCTTGTATCTGCTGTAGTCTGTGCAGACAGAGATTGTGATGGTATTTTGCGGTGTTGTACCTATCGTGATCCGATACTCACAGATAGATTCGGTAATTTCGCGCAAATTTTGGAATAAATGTAAATAGAAATACTAATAATATTACTTATTATAATTACACTGTAGATAACTGCGGTAGTGCGTAAAAGTAACAAAGGATTTGAAAATATATTTAGTTAGTTTACGAGATAAAACTATCCGATGTTACCAGTCATTAACTCGCGTCAGAAAATTCAAGTCCCACTCACATCGTTTCGCCTCTCTGCCCTGAAGCGTTTGCCCGGTGTGGGAGACGCCAGATCTTTGTTGGACAGGATCTGCGGGTCGCTTCCGGATGACATAAGGGAGTTGTCTGTGTTATTAGCTTTCCGCTTACGGAGTTAGGAAGAGGGTGTCAAAGCAGGAAGGGATCCAGCTGATTCATCTTTTTCGGGAGGGTGGGGGTTTATGTTTTTTGATAAATAATAATGTATTTGTTATATATTGGTATATAATTTAGAGATTCACAATGAACTCATTAAAGCAGGTACACGTTTTGAGATCAAAAACTAGTTGTGGGATCAAGACTCGTGCGTATACTCCGCTCATTCTTTTCGGTATTTGGACGACGATGCAAAGAGTCGAAAGCCGCAACGGACTGGTCTGGCTTTGCGAATGCCCGCAAGTCGCGCCGCTGCTACGCCGGGGCTGGCCGCACGCCGCCTGCCTGGTCGTGCCCTCCGGCGCCGACAGAGGGCGCACAACGAATGCGGTAGGGTGAAGAAAGGGCGAAGAAGGGGAAGGGGGCGTAGGTGTCTTTCGTAACATTATCCACTTTAGTGCGGCGGTCTCCTATTACGTCCGATTTTGCATGTATCTGTTTACGGCGTTGGATTCAAGGAGCAATGTCCGCCATCTTGCGCTATTATAGCGCGCCTACATCTTTTTAATTTTTTTCCTTGGAGTTTTTGAGAACTTAACTTTCAGAATTTCCGGAGATTTTGCTAGATTTTGTGGAAAAAGGGACTTCCGTAAGCGTAAATTCTATTTATAAAACAGGCGTTCAAATGGCGATTTATCCAGATCGAAGAAATCGGACGCATTAGTTCAGACGTTATGGCTAAAGTAAATTTACTTATTTTGGTGCTGCCACGTTGTGGCAAAAATTGTACTAGTGTTGGTACATTTGCCTTAACAGTTTCCCACGATGAAACGTCCCTGGCCAACGCGAGACGACTTATACTAGCAATATTGCACATAATATATCAGAACAATCAGTTCCGGTTTAGCTTAGTAGCACTTGTAGCACGTGCTACGGGCCCGCGCTTTCTGAGGAAAAAATCTCACTATGAAAAAAAAACAAATTTCCGTAATGAAATTTGTGAACTTACGGTAAAAAAGCTAAAATAACAGTATATAATATATATAGAAGTAAATATGTTAAACAATATGTCGGCATGCGACTAACGTTATGTGGTACGAATAACGTTAAACAATATGTCGTATTATTATTCACATCTAAAATCAGGGCCGCTAATTTCGAAAATTAATAAAGTTTAATTTATCACATAAGTCTGTTCAGTTTTGGAATTCTGTCGCCAAGTCGGGCGCTATGAGTGTGTGAGTTAGGTTTCAATTTTCTAAATATCTTAAGGAATAACAACATGGTGTAGACAACTAAACGTTAGTTTGTAGTTTGCTAAGGCCAGCAAATATCAGAAAATGAATTAAGTTTGCTGCTAGAAACAGTAATAGAACAAGTGTGATACATTTTTATGGCAATTGGTATGAGATGAATTTTTAAAGTTATTTTGTAATTATAATTTATCTATAATTATAACTTTTTTATATATTTGTGTTACACACTAATTCACTCGCACATGTTGGATAGAGTCAACAGAAGTTTCTTTTCTTGTTAAGGAAGGATGTTAGCCTTCCACGTAAAAACAATGCTCGCATTCCACGATTGTATCTGGGAAGGATGTCGATAACTTTTATCTCTATTTTGCGTAGTGTCGCCATACTCTGAAGTAAAATTTAGTGCGTGTTTTGATAGAATCCAAAATGCGGGTATGGCGTTAGAACGATGTTTTTGTGTAATTGATAAAAATGATATTTTTCTGTATCACGAAATTTTTAATATTTTAAATGTTGTTGTTTGCATTTTTCTTGGTAGTGTGGCAAAACATAAATGTTTATAACTCATAATGCGGGCATTGAATAATAATAAAATCTTCAAATAGGTTTGCAACTAATTATTTACAAGGTATATTCAATTAACAATATAGCACAGAATATTAAAGAAAAATGTATAAATGATGTTAATTGAGAAAATTAACTCCTTAATAGTTGTGTTGGACGGAGTCCAACGCGCGAGTACTGGTGTTACGAATGGCCGCGCGAATGACGGAATGTTAATCAATTTTGATACCTTTGTGGAAAAAAACATTGAAAAATGCTGTGAACAAATATTAAAAGGATTCAATTTAAACAGCATTAGAGTTTTTTAGACTGCTTCGTGAAAGTGTATGAAAAACTTTTTGAACACTGAAACAGTCTGAAATATCTTAAGAATAGACGTTGTATTTCGGAGATTTTAAGACTTTTATTATAGTTACCTTTAGAATTTTTTCAAGAATTTTTCCACAAAAATTGTACACATTTTTAAATGCGTATAAATTGAATCATTACAGACTTTTTAAGAGGAATTTTCATATTTTTTTTCAGACCAATTTTCAGAATTTTTCAGTGTTTTTCCATAAGTAATGCATATGTGTATATGTTTATTTACTTTTATAGTTTTTGACTGTGTATTTGAATATTATTAATTTTAGAGACATTTTCTCCAAAGTATCTGTAAGTAAGCAAATTTAAAAACTGTTTCTAACGACAGCAAATGGGCATTTATATGCAGTGGCTTCTATTAGAGTAGCCGGTCAACTTGAAATTGTAAGTTGTTCATAATCACTAATTTTTCATCTTTTTACTTTATATTTAAATTACAATACTTTTATAATTTAAATATTAAACAACATATTTATAAAATTATTGTACAAGATGAATAGTATTTTTGAGTCAGCTATATATTTTTCTATACTCATGCGATAATTAAAAGTTGGTATGGTTTTTAAGCATAAGTGTGCATAGAAAACTTTTTGTGCTGTAGATTAAGATGGCAAGTCGGACAGAGATATTGGACGACGCTGTTCTTCTGGATCTATTAAAAGAAAGACAAGGAGGAGAAATTCTAAAAGAACAAGAGGCAATATCTACAATTCAAAACTGACTAGTTTTTTTTGCAAAAATCCCGAAAATCTTCTGATGTTTAAATGATCTTCAGAACACGTCGACTCAAATTTCGTTTCGTCAGATAATAACAGACCCTTGTCAAACATAGAAGACGAAATTCTCACAGTTGAAGAACAATACAGCTTCAGGAAAACCCTGATTACAGCATTTTCTCACCGATTAGGACAATGAGCGTCTCCGCTAATAGAAACGAGCATGAATATTGGATTACGAAAGGAAGTGAAAAATGCAAAATTTAATAGCGATTTTACTCGTCAAAAAGATACTTGTAAAAATGAGAATAAAACGATATTTTGCATAAATCTTATTTTTCAAAGTTATTCAAAAATTGACGAAAACCAAACGCAGGAAGAAATGGCTCTGCTACTCTCGAGTAAAGGTAGTTTGTTTTGCTTC